GTGAGTATAGGTTTGGCATATGCGACACCCAATGAGCTTGTTCGCGGTTAGATATGATGGTGGTGGTGGTGGTGATGGTGATGGTGATGGTGATGATGATGATGATGATGATGATGGAATGATTAAGAAGAAGAAGAAGAAGAAGAAAGTGAGTGAAAGGAGCTGCGGCGTAAGTGATGACTTTCAACTGACTTTCGAACCTAGAATTGTGTTGGAAGAGCAGGAAATGAATTACGTGGTAGAGGAGCGTGAAGAGGTTAAGCCAGAAGAAGTGGAGATGAAGAAGATTAAGGTGGACAATAACCTGGTAGACGAAGAAGGAGAAACTGAATTTCTTTATGGTTTTGGGTGGAATAGTTGGAAAGACTGATGAATACGGAGGTATTAGTTGACAAAAAGGAAAAGAGGTATTCGCCAAATTACAAAGTGACAAAAATGTTAACCAATGCATTGTCACTGATATAACGGTACGGATATATCAAAATGGTAATCAAGGTGATTTAACAAGACACGGTATTCGCAATCAATTGGTCAATTATGGTGAGCATACGCATTCTCAAACCACACGAGGATGTGGGAGTGAACTACTCCAACTCCCTGTTAATTAAAAGATTCCAATTATCAACCAATAATGGAATTCATTTATAAATGGGAAAACAATTCACTTATTTACCAACAGCGCTATTCTCGATATCAAGACTTTCACCTTGAACACAGTTTGATCAAATACCTGTCTTATTAATTGCCCTTTATCTCGAGAACTGAAAGGTTTTAATGACTGTGAGGTAAATAATATCTGAGCGCAAAGACCGGAATGTAAGAGTTGAAGTGCAGATGGAACCAAAGAGGCCAGTATTGTGGGAGTGGGGGAATCTAGGGCTTGTAGTAAGTGGTTAATATTAGCGCAAGAGGATATTTGTCTAGTGGTGACGTTGTGAGCACCACAATTTGGATGGAGGAGACTTCTAAAAGTTATACAAAGTCTGGATAAATCTCACCAAAGCCGTTTGCTATCATTGTGCCAGTCGAAATTAATCTGCTCATTTAGCGTTAATCAATAGCATTAAATCGTCTAATACCAGGCACACCATTCATCACGATATGTTTGTACTCAGTCATGTGTCTTGAAGCTTGCCATAATGCAAGTCGAAGGAAGTGATTTGGAGGAGACACGTCAAATATGTCATTAATTGGCCAAATATAGCGTCGAGCGTAAGAAGAATATTTTGAATTTGTCATTTGAGCATGAAGCACAAGTTCTGCGTATATTAATAGTATTATCATTATAAATAAAGGAAAATGACATATTGCCAGAATGGTAGATGTTACCAAGGAACACATGAAACAACGAAAGCGAAGATATAACGTCAAATTCTTGGCAAATAAGAGCATTGGGGTATTATAAACCTGGAAATGTTTGCACTGACGTATCTGTGTAGTCGGAGATACAATAAAAATGCACTAATTCTATTCTTTCTCATTTTTTTACCAATCTTCGTATCTTCTGCTCACGAGAAAATGAAACTTCGATATGGGATATTAAAATTCTTTGGGGATAATTGTTATTTGTGTGAAAACAGCATTGCCTATAGAAAAACCTCTGAAACGTACATTTTTAAGTTGATTTTGAAATATTTATTCTAATTTCTTGTAATATAAAATTTCATTATTTTAATTGAATTAAAAAATTATTTGCCTAAAATTATTCTTTGTCAATTGAATTGTCTGGATTTAAGATAGATTTGTTTAGTCGAGTTATTTAGCTAGGAGAAAGGCAAGACTGTCTTAAGGCGTAATTATAATGACCACTAAGAGAGCGACTGCTCCTGTTCCTGAGATGCAATCTTGTAATACGCATGAAGAACCGATGGCGGAAAGAAGAAGTTTTAATAATAAAGACGAGAATGCATTGAATCAACTTTTGGTTTGCACAGAAAGTACAAATAATATAAACACGGGTGAAAAATCCGGAGTACCGCGAAATGAGCATTCACAAGATGTTGATAAGGCAGACTTGGATGACAATGCTGATGAGGAGAATGATGATGATGATGCTGAAGACTCAGACGATGACCATTTTGATGTTACAATTGGAGGAATCAAAGGTGGAGTATACATAATAGGAGGTACTGACCAGGCACGTTCGCAGCGGTTTATTGGGCGAGGCATTAATCCTAAGCATCCGAGGAATATTAAAGGCGCTTTTACCTGCAAATATAACACAAATGGTCTCAAAGATGAAGACAAACCTTGGAAAAAGCCAGGTGCTCATATGACTGGGGACACCTGGAATGAATATGGTGGGAAGCAGAGGACTCTTCGTCAAGAGGATGCGAATTCCGCCCCCATACCAGTTGTGATTGGAGGTGCAGTGGGTCTTAATCTATCAGGTGGCAACTATCGTGGACCCAGAGCTAACGGTGCTCTTAGCCGGCATGTCGAAGATATTACAACTGGTAATCTGGCCCGTTCGTCATGTATGAGTGAAAATGTTGCCGAGAAGAGTAGAAATAGTCATCTTGGTTCGGCACAAGCACAACCACTTATGTTCCCTCCTGCTACTGCGTTTCCTCCCACGAATGGTGGCCATTTTCTATCTCCATTCACCAACCCTCTCTGTTTTCCCCCAACTGGTTTCGTTGTTTCATCCCTTCCTCCACCTCCACTTGGCTCTACTTTCCAGCCAAAACAGCTTCCTGGTTTCCCCAGTCTAGGCAATGGTCTGACGCCTCTCCTCATTCCAAGAGTCATTTGTGGAGGACCAGGAGCAAGAAATCCATATCATACTTCTCCCTATACCATGTTGTAAGTTTGCCTTCATTCACTCTCACTATTTTGTCTCATTTGTGATGCGATTATTTTCTACTTTCACGTGATTTTAGTCCAGAGGACGATTTCGGGAGTCGTCGCTCGAGTCGCTCGAGTCACTCGAGTCGCCGAAGTCGCCGAAGCCACCGAAGCCACCGAAGTCGCTCTCCTCACAGCAGGGATTATCATCGTGGCTGTCATAGCAGACGGTGCGTTTTCGTTATTGCTGTGTCCTTTCTCTAATCTATTCACCTATTTAACCATGGAAGTTGATATTGGCAAGAGATTGTGTCAAATGGGCCGGAAATAGGTGGCTTGCTTTTGATGTCTCTACTAGTTAGTGTTAATATCGGCAGCTTGAAACAGGGTATCATGTAATAGTTATCCCTCTTTTCGTTTTCCTCTAGTGTCTTTCTCCTATGTCTACATTGGGAAGAACAATTGATTTTGGGATATTTTCTGTCCATTCTATTCGCGTTATTCCGGAAAACATCTCTTCTGTGGTGCACTCTTCCAAAGTACTTTCGAAACATTGGGAACTCCATTTTGGTAGGTTAGATAGCATGGCATTTGGTATTTGGTGTTTGGTATTTAGTTTAGTTACTTTAG